TCTTTCCTTTCTATTTCTCACTCCTTTTATCTCAACCAAATAGAATGTTAATTAAAATTTTAGATTTTAATTTTTTTATCAAAATAAATGCAATTGAAAAAAAAAACCTCCACCAAATATAATCAATCAATTTTTTTTACCCACATCAATTAAATTAGTGATTTTCGTATTAATTACATGATTATTTTTAAAAAAAACTTTTTTAAGAGATAAATGAGATTTAAAAGAATGATTTTTATTACCCTTCACTTTCATTGATTTAAAATTTTTCTAGTCTAGTCCACTAAAGACTAAAGAGACCTTGAGAGTTTGTTATAAACCTACGAACTATAGTTTATTGAATAGCATGATATAAAAAAAATGTTTTGATAAGATAAGAAGAAGGAAAATGAGTATAATTAGTTAAAACAAAAAGTATAAGGGAAGGAATAGCACCTCCCTAAGTACTCAAAAAGGTGTGGCTGTAACGTGTTACTACCTGGGACAGCTTGAAATTGAAAAGCACGTGGGGCCCAACGTTGTTGCTTCGCTGGATTTTATGGTCCATCTTGTTTCAACGGCTCTTGAGGAGTGGGTTACCTTGCGGTTTACACTGAATTGGTGGGACACTACAAAAGATATTTATGGAAAACCGCCAATGCCATTTGCTTGCATTCACATTCACAATCACATGAAGAGAGGGTCAATAAGGGTTATGGAGAGTCACTAACGTGTCAGAAAAAATGACACACCAATTTCTTAATTCTTATTTTTGATTCCTTTCGGAGAAGTGGGGTAGAGAACTGTATTTTTGTTGGGAAAATGTGAGTTTGTAGTTATTGTTTAAATTAATATAACAATTATAATGCTTTTTGTTAGGAATTGTGATAAGTGTAGGATAGGACACTTTTTATTGTTAAGTTATAGATCACGATAAGCATGTTTGGTTTTCATCTATTCAAGCATGATCAAGTTCAATTTTCTCCTCCATGTCAAAAGCTACTATATGTAGCTTCTGATTTCCACGTACATTTGAGTAATTTGACGTGAATTTTTTTGGAGAACTTGAATCATCAAATTGTATCTAAATATACCTTATGTTGTCTAATTTGTCCATTTTTATTTGAAGTATAAACTTATTTAAAAACACTAATAATAAGGAAAAATAAAAATTAAGATCAATTTATGTTTAAGCTAATTTGCATAAATTTTCTCTTACTAATTTTACCAAAATTTTATTTTTAATTTGTATATCTAGTTTAACTTATGAATAAATTTATCTAGTCATTCATCCATATAGATATATGTATAGGATAAAAAACTTAATATATTTCTTGTACATATATACAATCTACACAAAATACTACTATACATAAAATAAATTCTACTTGTTAATCAAATGCCTTTACACCACCAAAATTGCATAAGAGTAGGATCATCATAAAAATCGGTCATGTCCAGTATGATCCTCCAACCTCCAGACAACTCAATCCTGTTAATCTTGTCATACTCTCATATCCAGTATGATTACTGTAGTTCCAACCACAAGAAAAAAAAGGGTAATCTTGTGAAAAAAAATCAACATACATGACAACATGCAATAAGTAGTAACTTAATAACAACTTAAGTAACCACATTTGTTAACCATATAACTTCACTCATCATCAATTACCACATAAACAACTTACAACATAATACAACTTATCAACTTCAACTCAAAACACATGTTCAACATAAGCAACAATAGACAACAAATGTGTCATCAAGCATATTAACTATGGAGATTTCTTACAATAGAGGTGAGCAGTTTAAATGATTAGATTCTACTGAACCACAACATTTGATCTATTGCAACTAAGTTAGGTATAGAAAACTTCAAACCTCTCAGAGTACTTGTTTACAACTTATTTGATTTATCAAGTTTTGTCACTTAAACTAGAAAGTTTAGTACCACTATCAAGGTAGAATAATCTGGGTATGAGTCTACTATGACATTAACTTGCAACACTAAGTCTTTTATGAAAGTAATCCACCGATTATCATCAAAATACTACATTCTTCCGATACTCAATTAGGAAACTAAGTTCCCAACCTTGTACCTTATTTGATTGGTTACTTTATATACACATGTCTCGACTTAGTTCACATATGGATTTTCACATAAAATTTAGAGGAGAAAACTTAAAAAACAACTACCCATTTAGAAACCAAGTTACTTACTAAAGGGTTTCAACTTAAAGCATCACAATTTATTTTCACACAATGAAATATTTTAATTTCTAAAATATCTTTTTCTCTTCTCTAATTTTTATGTATCTTAACAAAGACATGTATCTATACCACATGCCTACAACATTCAGCTATAGCATCTTACAATTTATACAACTTAATCATCATTCAACTTACAACTTACCAAAAATAGCATCATTTTATATAGTATAACAATTAGGAACATCATGGATTATCATCATATCATCTTCATCATAGAACTTATTCATCATTTTTCAATCATAAAAAACTTAAAACATCACCAAAAGTCATGCAACTTATGCTCGATGTCATCCCCTGGGCACCTAACGCCATTGAAGAAAGGGATTTCCTATCTTGTCCACGCCCGACGTCACACTACTCACACTCGACATGGTTATGGCTGAGAACCTCCCACTTTCTCGCACTTGGTGTGACAAAAGCTCACACCTGACCCCATTTAGATAGAGGGTTTCTACTCGATTCATGCCTAACATTACTCCACTAGCACTCATGTGGATCCAAGCAAAGAATATTCTCTCTTCATTCTCGATATCATTCAAACTCATGTTCGATGTTATCAAGTCAGAGATGATTCACTTTCTTCACGTCTGACAACACCAATCATATGCTCGACGTCAAGAGAATGAGAACTCCTAACATTAAACCATGCCCAACGGGAGATCAGTTTTTGCACTTACATAGTGTTCCTGCGTAAGAACACTCCTCTCCTTGTTCCTTCCTAACTGCCTCCAAGTCTTTCTAAGTCTTCCGTGCCGACCGGACACTAGCTCCGAGTGGTGGGGGAGGGTACCTGAAAAGGCACTCCGACGATCAAGTCAGTGTTCGGTTCAGAGCAATAAATGCGTTAGAAGGAATAGTAACGTACCTCATTTATGTCACATCACCTGTACATTTATAGTGACATATGTGGGCCTGATGGGCCTTCAACTTTGGGAGATGGGTAATACATGACTTAGCCTTAATCCTGTCTTAATTTGGCATGTTAATTAATGCATAATAGGCATTTGACTAGCCACGTGTTTTGAGTAAATTCCCCTCTTGTCGGGTCCTTCGGTCGAGCCTGAAGCCGACGAGGTATTCGGCCTGGCCTGAGGGCGAAAAGGGGTTCGGCCTGGTCAGGGGCCGAGTGAATGTTTAGTTCGGTCCATGGCCAAGATGCTGCTCGGCCTGGTCCATGGCCGAGATGGTGTTCGGCCTGGTCCGTGGCCGAGAGGGTGTTCGGTCTGATCCACGGCCGAAAGGGTGCTCGGTCTGACCCACGACCGAGAGGGTGTTCGGCTTGGCCCACGGCCGAGAGGGTGTTCGGCTTGGTCCACGGCCGAGAGGGTGTTCGACTTGGTCCACGGCCGAGAGGGTGTTCGGCTTTATAGTGACTGCTCATGATTGGATTTAGGAGGTACTGTTTTGTTCCCTGGAGGAGCTGGTGCTCGGCCTGGTCCACGACCGAGATGGTGTTCGGCCAAGTTCATAACCGAGATGGTGTTCGAGGGTTCCAAGTTTGATTTCTAGACGGAGGGGTGTGAGGGTATCCCTTCGGTTTTGTCGTATCCGGCCTTTGACCGAGTCAACGGGGTTCCTATCCCGTACACTGCCCCCCCAAGCCCAAGGATGAAAGACGATGGGGTTTTTGGCTTTTTAGGGTTTCCGTACTCGCCTCGGGAGTCGTGTCGTTTGGGTAAAAGTGACTGTTGCATGCGCAGCCGCCCTAGGGTTTCGAACCTTTAGCTGGCGTCGCTTCAGTTGAAAGAGCATTAATTAGTGACTCTTGGATGTCCAGGGGATTTTCCTATATATATGGTGGTAGGGCAAGGTCTCTGGCGTGCCATTTATCTTGAGATCCTCTGCCCCGACGCCCTCATCGTCCTGTCTCCTGAGTACGTCACTAAAAGGTAGATTTTAGTTTCTTTTTAATGGCAACCGAGCCGAATGATTTGTCATCGGGGTCGTCCTCGAATTCTAGGGTGTTATCAGTCGATGCTGAGGCCGAAGTGTTGGCTTTCAATGTCGAGGTCGAGGCAGGGGATTCCCCTCATCTGGGGGTTAGTAATAATAGTGGAGAGTCAGAGAGTTCATCCGGTTCGGACATTCCGGATGCGACGATGAGTCGCGAGGATTATAGGCAAAAGTTTCCTCCT